CGACATTAACTGGCCAAATGGTCTGACCACTGATCTTGTTAGTAACCTTCTCTTTTGGGTAGATGGCCAGAGACACAGCCTAAGCAGCATTGACTACAACGGTCAGGGTAGACGCACCATTATCCAATCAAGTTCAATTCTGCCTCATCCTTTCGCTATCACCGTATTCGGAGATTATGTCTACTGGACAGATTGGCGGAAAAGGGCTATCATTAAAGCCAACAAATTCACTGGAAAACATACAATTTTGGTTGAAAATCTCAGTCGTCCTACGGGCATCCAAATATATCACCCTCAAAAACAAATCGACGGTAAGAATATGATCGAAGTCTTCAATACTTGAAAGGGAAAAAGTAAATGAAGATCATTCATATGTTGTAGCTTTTCAAAGAATTTCGTTAAACCTTTACCCATATTTTTTTTTTCGCTTAAGGGATTACTAACTATTGTGGAAGAAATAACGGTGGATGTTCTTATCTGTGCGTAGCTTCCCCTAAAAGGGGCGATAAATCTGTTAAATATTCGTGTCTCTGTCCCACAAACTCGTTCTTAATGCAAGATGGGCGTACATGTGAGGGTTCAACAAGGAATCCACCGACTCCACCTCCTGCAACAATAGGTACAGTAGAGCATTATTATTCCTATTGTTATTATTATTGTTATTATTATTATTATTATTATTATTATTATTATTATTATTATTATTAGCAAAAAAAATCAATCTTTTGGCACTGCGATTTCGAAATAGACTGCGATGATGGGTCTGACTACATAAAGTCACATAATACATTTTCAAGAGACAGCAAAAGCTTTAAAGTTGTTGTATGCTTGCTGTCTAATACGAAGGTTAAATTATATTTTTTTTAAAACAGGGTTAGTTAGGACTTCTCTCATCAATTGTAACTTCAGTATTACTGTACTACTATATGACACAGTAAGCCATGGACGCCTAACGTAATTACTTCTTACGTTATTAATGTTGCCTATACCTTACCATCCTTATGCCGACGTCTTAGTAACATCAACATACTTCAAAATACCAAACGTGATATTGCCTTTTAGTCTGTCAAAAAAGATGGATGTACTAATTTTGTAAGCCTATGTCAATACTTTAGTGTAGACATTTTCAGTGAAAAATATTATTTTTTTTATTTCTTGCCTCTAACAATCAATTTCATTTTTACTTTTAGATTTGAGTCCGTGCCATCCGAACCCATGTGTGAATGGTGTCTGCATATATAACATTTTCACAAAACTTTTCTACGGAGGATACTTGTGTAAGTGTGACAGTGGATACTCTGGCAAGCATTGTGAGTAAAGGTACGTCTTTAGGTTTACCTACTCTATTATTTATCTTACCGCAGCAGTGGCGTATCTAGAGGGGTGTGCAAGCCCCTCAAGAAATTACTCACGCCCCCAACCCCTCCCCTCCTAAAAAAAACAAAAACACGGTCAGGTAGTTAAAAATCACCTTATTTTTTATACGCCCCTCAACCGATCATCGACCCCTCCCCACTTCACCTTCGCACCTCCTATCAGCTCCCCACTTCAATTCAAGACTTCTAGATAAGCCACTGAACTGCAGGCTTAAACGGAAACTGATAATATATACACTAATCTTGTTATACGCTTTAAATAATCGGTTATTCGATATATTTTCAGGTTGTAAAGGTCACAAATGTTTGTGGTGAGAGGACGTCATACTGTGTTATGTCACCAAAAGAAAATAAAATCTGCTTAATTTTCAATCGCTTTGCTAACTGCCTGTAACCTGCTTATTGGAATTCTGCTTTGACTTCTTTTTGGAATTCTGAATTAAATTGTATTATAGTAACACTATAGTGTACTAATAATAATAATATGCAGAAATTTATAAGGCACAATTCAAAAAACATTATCAAAGGCGCAGTGAACAATTAACCCAATTAAAGCGATTTTGTAAACAAAAAAGTTTTCAAATTAGTTTTAAATGAGGTTTAAATTTGACGATTGTCGAACAGAAAGAGGTAATAGATTCCAAAGATAAGGTGCCTGAACAGAAAAAGAGCGTTGTCCATATGTTTTTAGCTTTCTCCTTTTTGAAGTACTATAGTAATACTAGAGTGTATTATAGTAAGACTAGGCCTAAAAAAAACTTGATTGTTTGCCGTCGCCGCCGCCGTTTCACGGTTTGTTAACACTAAACTTTTCTCTCCTCGTGGTTGGTAATACTACTACCAAGGTGATACAGTGTCAGTTGTTGCAATTTTACCTTTTTAAACACATTTATTAAGTAAATGAAGCTGGTGAACCTGACCTGATACATAATGCAGTAGTTTATTTTAATCTTACTCCAATTAAAATCTACATTAAAAAAAAAAACTTTTTTATACCACCCCTCATCTTCTAGAAACCTCTATACAGACCGTTTTTGTAATCTTTCTTTAAAAAAAACAAAAAAAAAAACACTTTCTTCCACCCTCCCCTTCACTTAAATATTTACAATTGACAGCAAACAAACCATTTTTTTTTTAGGTCCTATACTGACATATAGCAATATTATACACTGTCTTATACAGTAGTACTGTAATACTACACTGTTACATGACCATTTTATGTAAATCCATACCATTTTATGCTTACATCCATACTGTCTTGGTCGTGAGAAGGCTACTTGGCATTAGGAAAACAACTTATATTATCCTTCCGTTTAAGAATGACATCATAATATTGTAGTAGTAATAATAATAATAAATCTTTATTCAGCATAAAAATGTCGCACAAGCAAAGGCAAAAATCTAGAAAAAATTTATTTCAAATTTTACCTCTGCTTCAATGAATATAAAACTAGGCCGAGTAAGACAATCACTTAATTAAAATACAGCATAATGCACAATTGTAAAATTGACAAAATCACAGATTCTATTATGAAATCTACTAAATGATACTAAAACTAACTTTCATAATCAATGTCATTGTAAGCATGTCGCCAAGAATTAAACACCTCTTACCATTGGTTTGACTATATTCCTTTAAAACTTTACTTCTGTTATTTGCTAAAGATTATTGGAGCTAATTTGCAATTGAAATTATAACTAGTGTAGAAAAAGAATAAAAAATATTGACAAATAAAATGTAATATTAGTGTCGTTATTGTTCACTGTCAGATTTAAGTCAAATTCTTAGTATGCATACAGCAAAATACAATAAGATGCGAAAGTCACACAAATAAATATTATAAGGCATTGAAAGGGGGAAAATTGTGAAAGAATACGATACATTTTAGAACAACTGGGGGAACATCCTTTCCCCCAGTTTTTGTTATTATTAACAAAATGTGTAGCATCAGGTTTTGCCCAGTTCTCCTTCACCCCCACCTACCCCCCACACCCAAAAAAAAAGAGTATTTCTAAAAAGTGCTAAGATTTCATTTACTATTTGCATTAAACTTTTAAATGATTAATCAAACTTCTACATGATTTTTAAAATTTATCATGCCAGATATTAATATAAAATAAAATTTTGATAAAATTATTTAATACAGTATATATAATAACAAAATAATTTGTGTAAAGAATGTTTTGCAAAAAAGAAAATCAAATTACTGTACATAGGAATGATACTTTGCCCTACCCAACGTGTTGTCCTACTGAATTCTCAGTACGTTCCCAAAATACTTGCGAAAGAACTCGCAAGTGATTCGGGAGGGGAATCGAACCCACAGCCTGCAGATAGCTAGCCTTGTGTCTAACAACTAGACCACCGAGCTTGTGGTTAGTGGCTAGTGTTGAATCCGATTCCCCAGTAGCAGCGGGTACACAGATTACATATATTGCTCATTTTAATATTATATTGATACTGTATATTTTTGTGGCATGATCCAAATAGGCTTATCTACCATATATCATATAGTAATCTTTTTTTTTTCATTTAAAAGCATGTGTAGCTTTTGTCTAGCACAAGAATCTATGGCTGGTCTTCTCAGTGTCATTACAAATCCTTTGATGTAACCTCACTTATACCATGAACTAAAACAGTGGGTGGAAGTCCATTTGTGAGAATATTCAAAAGGTGGAGGTACTGCATATGTTGAGTAGCATTGGCTGGGGGTAGTGGCAAATAACAGAACGTCAAAACTGTATTCTCAGCTTCTGCTTTTATCAGTCCATTGATACCATTGAGATATTCAGTTGAGATGTCTGTCACATGCGTCACAGGTAGCCCATCATCTGACTCAGTCTCGGAGTATGTGTTTAAACTTACCACATGATCCCAACTTATCGTGTGAATTTTTGCTTTGATTCGTAAATCAACTAAAAATGATTTTAACTTTTTTTCCATCTTTGTTTGAGCTTCAACATTTTTATTGTCCACGCATAAAAACACACGTAATTCAGTGTGCTTATTCCACACAGGGACCATGTGAAGCACGCAGGAGAGTTGAAGAAGGAAAATACATGCGGTATCCAAATAGCCAGCAGTTTCTGGTTTAAAAAAGTTAATCGGCCAAACATCGATTGTTTTCTTCTCAGTAAGATGAGCAAGCTCATCTCGATTAAAATTGTTAATATGACGGACCACACATATACTTTTTCGCAAGCGTATAGCATCACTAATTATCATTACATATTCTCTGGCAGATAACAATTTCTCATCGTCTTCTCTGCGCAATGGATAGCCGAAACGCTGAGGGTTCTCTTCACTATCTGCGAGGTGAAGTTTTTGAACAAATTTGCCATCAGTAAGATGATCCTCCTGCACATCATCATCATAGAAACCAAGTACAATAGTGTTAACTTTCATTCCTACAATAAAATAATGCAAAATCTCAGATGTTATTCATTGGGAAATAATAAGGGACAATGACAAGGTTGTGTGTTATAGAGGTGTTAAAATTTATATACAAATAATTTGCTTAACTTGCTGAATTTGAAGGCTTCAAAATTATTGAAATACTGTAAACCTTCAATTGAAGCCCTGGGCATCTTTTTTTGCAAACTTTAGGTGGGCTACTTTTCGAAATGGGTTTCTTTTCAATTCAAGATAGGCTTCTTTTCGAGGCTACTTTTGCAAAGTAAAGAGGGGGGTGGTTCCTTTTCAAAATGAATGCTGTAAATTTTGAGATTGGCTTCTTCTCAAGATTAAGCCCATTGAGCTTCATTTCAAGGTTTTATGGTATCATCCTCAAAGTACTGATAATTATGGTTCTTATAGAATATTACTTTTTACTACATCAAAGGGACAACATGGGCTGATGATAATAAATAAGAATATTAATATTATTTTTCATAAACATTAATTTGGATGATTGCATTGAAAATGAACACTGCCCTCTAGAGTTAGGAATCGGTTACCTCCAAGTCCAGCAATCCTCATCAAATGTTGGGCCCCTTCACGGATGGTTTCCGCAAGCGTTAACTCAACAAAGGCCTTAACATGAAGACAATCGATCAATGCAAGCCACTGTCTTTCCTCTCTGGTCACAGGGTCTTCAGGAAATTCATCCATCATACCTAGTTTGACATGCCCAATTACGTACAAGCCGCTTTTCTTCATGTCATTTACAAATCGTATCATTTTACAACTCGAACGAGGGTTTGAAACAAGTAGCAGCATCTGCGGACGCCAGTATTTCACATGTTCCTTGCGGATGTCAAGACGAAGAAGGTATTTCCTTACCTTTGAAATTAATGGAATACTAAATTTGGTAGACATGTGCAAAATCTAACTTGATATATTACTTCAATTACTAAAATACCAAAAAAAATGTCAGCTATTTAGATACGAATGTACAATAGTCCTCTCTTTAAATAAAATATAAACTATATTTATACACACTTGTCTCTTATTATATATAATTTATGTAACATATTGAATAACCAATATCTGGATCTAAATTTTACCTGATGGAAAATGAGAGCTTGGCTGATGTAGCCCCAGCTAGATCCAGATACTCGAAAATGTATGTAGAGAAAAAGAACAGCAAAGACACAAATGCTTGTAAGGGCCCACACATAGTTGATGAAGAACATCATAATAACAGTACCTACGAAGCCCAGTAGTGCTGTGTGCCATGAAAAATACTTAAACGTCGGCCTACAATGTTGGGAAAAAAAGGGGAAAAAATGGTCTTAATAAATTTTTGTACTATTTTAAATTGAAGTTCAAAATTGGAAACTTTGGTTGGGTAACATAAGTATTACCAGGTAATACCAATGTTATTACAAATTATTTAATATTTTTTATCATTAAGTGCAGGAAAACAAACTTCAAGTACTTGTTTGTCTTTGTCAAAAATTGTTTGCAAATATATTTTACCTGAAGTTAGGAGCTGAAGCAATGTCCAGGGCCATGCAGGCAAGATTGGTGCAAGCATAGACAAGCATGAAAAGAACAGAGACGATTGGTGCAATGGCATTCAACTCACCCATTAACAGGACACACTAGGAATACACATTAATAATTATTACTTTCATAACTATCATAATTTTCATTTGTTAAAATTATTACTGAGGGCCAAAAAAAGATCAACTCAACTGACACAAAATTTTTAATGTATAGACAGTGCCGGCGCCAGCAGGGTGACTGCTGGACCTCACTGTCGGACTTGTCGGCCTCCTGTGGGCATGTTTATGGAGTAACCACTGTGTATAAGGTTTAGCCGTTTCTTTGCAAAAATATGACTCTCTAACAAAAATGAACCAAACTTGTATGACGTATTAAAATGCCAAATTTCAGGCTTTTTGTAATAAATGCAATACATTAAACTAGATTTTAGCCTTGTAGTGACAACTTCATTAAGAGCATGTGTGTGATGATTTGGTCTAGGTCAATAATGTAAAAATTGTTGATCGACTGACCACAATCTTAAAGTGGTATTGTGTTCGGGAAAATAAGACAATTATACATGTGGTATTTTGTTTACCTGTACCAGTATCCATGAGACAAGGACAGCAACATACGGATTATCATTAGCAGAAACACCAAGCTGAACAGGTCGCAGGATGATACCTGCATATGAAAAAACATGACATCATCATTTATTGACACCATCATTTTATCAAGGACATATAAATGTACCAGGATAAAAAGCTTGCTGACATCACACTGCATACCATAGTTGGTGCATGTTGTTGCCTTTGGCAAGTTCTGCATATGCTCAGAAGTATATTGAGAAAAGCATGATGGGACAAATTGTATATGTCTCCTGTGGTAAACCAATGTAGGTCTTATAGTCAAATATTAATATATTAACATTTGTGAGCAATATTTTTTTCATTTTATATAGGTAAGTAGTATTATGTATGGATCATTTTAAGCACAGGATACTAAGGTTTACAAAATTAGCTTACGCTCCTTTATTTGCATACTTAATAGACACCGTACGTGGTTTGTAACATGGCAGATATCCTGCGAGCTGACATCATCATTATAGTATTAAATGACAATCCTTTTTCTAGTAAATGATGATGACATTTAATATGGCATTATCTTTTAATATATCATATAATTTGAGATAATTTATAATGAGATTATCATTTAATAAAATCATATATGAAATAATCACACATTATGTAATATGACATCATAACTTTAGGTTTGGTGATGGTGAGGGTGAATCGAGAGGAAGGTGAATTGGACAGTAAAGTTATGAGGATATCAAATGTTTTATCATGGGTCATTACTTAAATTTTAAGTGTTTGTTGTTAGTAACTAATCAAATGTTATTAAGACAAAATTTACAATATAACAACAAAAAAAATTAAAATGCATGACATTTTATGACTAGCTTATTAAAAAGAAACAAAACCCATGCACATGTACATACCAAATATTTGATCCTTAGCTAAAGCCGATAAGATACGTGAGCCACCGATTAACGTGCTCAGAGCAGCAGAGAGCGTCGCAGCTATTAGGCCGGTTACAACCAGGGGTGGGAAGAAATTTATCTTCTGCATAAAGCCATAACTGTACAGCAGCAACTCTCTGCAAATATTATCACTCTCTTGAAGTCAATATGCAAATTAGTTTATTTAAACTTGATTTTGGGGGTCGAGATTTCTTCCCCCCACTGAAGCACCGCAGCATTTTGAATTGTGAAAAATATTAATGCTTTTTTATCAATTAGGAGGTTAAATTTGGCTCAAGCAATAGCTAACATTAGTATCATGCGCATAAGATTGTTGTCATCATGAGAGCAGTGGCAAATCCAGATTTGAGGTATATATTTAAGTGGGGGAAGGAAGTAGGGAAAGTGAGTAGGGGAAGGAAATAGGGGTAGGGGTATAGAGGAGAAAATTAAGGGGAAAAAAGTATGGAAGTAGATGAGGGGAATTAAATATAGGAATATAGGGGATGGGAAGTTGGTGAGAGGTTACAGCTTCAGGATTAAGTGTCAACAAATTTAACAGCGAGTGGGTGATTGTGGGTGGGGGGGGCAGGGGAAAAACCTGTCTCTTATACACATCTAGATGTGTATAAGAGACAGCATACGGATTTTCATGGGGGGGGGTAGATTGTATGGTTTAGAATTGGCCAAAATTGTATATCATGGAATATTAGGGACGGGCAATCTCAAAAACTTTGTTTGGTTTGGGAAAGTTAACATCATAGGCGGACAATGGAAGATCTATGATTTTTCAATAAGGGAAGTTGCCCTCCTGCCTCAGCTGGTACCTCTACTGATGGGAAGGAGAATTTGTGGAGGAGCATTAAACTATCCCATTTCCAAATTATATAAAAGCCAGGGGTGTATATAATTTCCAAATTATATACACCCCTGGTTTTGTGTTTTGTTTGTTCCGTCTCATCTACTAGATCCTTTTCTCCCTCTATCCTACTGTCCACCTATCTTGGATTTGCCATTGTATACTACATGATCATGTGATGGTGATTGAAATGTTTGCTGATAGGTGAAGACATACCAATGAGGTCATCTTTTGCAATTGCCTGCAGAATTCTGGAGGCACCAATTAAATTATTCATGGAGGCCGAGAGGGCCAAAACTAGAGCACCTGCGGCTTCAAGTGGGGGGATGACATTAATGTCCTGTAGAAATCCAAAGTAATTTTGAAGGAGCTCTCTACAAAACATAACAAAAACATTAACAAATGAACATTTGTATTACTAGAACCAGTGTGCACTAAACCATGACTCATCCAACCAAAAATGGATGACTTAACCCAAACTATAACTTTTGAGATTGTATTCATAAAGTGTATACTAATATTTATTCATATGAGTAAACATGTATTTATAATTCATATTAAATATATGGACCATACCATGTCAAAACCAGCATCAGTGAAAAAAAAAACCAGAAAATTGACTTTTTTAATATATTCATATTCGCCACATTATAAGCTTTAAAATATTAGGTCATTTGCAGGAATTGACTTATTATTGCCAAAGTTATGAGTGAAAGAATTATGACTTCTCTGTAGTATAAAATACTGCCATGGTCTTATGCTAAATTACTCAGTTTAACAGTACACCTGTTTTTGATGGCAAATAGTCATAATTTGCAAACATCTTATGGTCAAGCACAGCTACCATACCTTGAGCAAGTGGCACTCACAAGGAAGGACAACAGCACGTATGTAAGGAATGTGAAGGCGCAGGCCACTATGGTTCCAACGGGAATTGACCGGCTAGGTTGCTTCAAGTCACCTGAAAGTTGTGGAGAAAATAATGCAATAAGCAATCAGTTGTGAAAAACTTGACCACTCAAAGCTGACCACACAAGCATCTGCAAAACTACCACTAAGTGTCTACCACTGATGACCATTAGCCACTAAAGTGTCCAACACAGACCACACTAGCCACTAGCCCCAAATGGATACTACACTTTCATTTATAAGATTAAGAACCATTAAAATTTTATCTAGCCTCAGTGTTCTTATTTTTTTGGCAACTGCAGGCTCAAAATGTTCTTAAATTGTTTTTTACGTTTACACACTTTTCAGAGATAGAAAATTATAATTGTACAGCAGTATATTATTGTACTGTGCTACAGAGAGTATTAAGAAGTCACACCTGTGGCATATGAGGTACAGATAACATTTTTTTTTTAATGAAAGCCTTATTTGACATATTACATGAGCTTCAATTTGTTCTTATTTTGTTCTTTTTTAAGCAATTTCAGCCTCAGTATTATAAAATGTGTTCTTATAAAAGAAAAAGTGTATTAAAAACAAATGTGTCCATTACCAACAACATAAGCCACAAATAGATAGAGTACTTAACGTAACCATCAAGAACTGACCCATGGGCCGCTAATAGCCATTCAAATGTCCATACTGGCCACCATTTGACACTGAAGTGCATATCACTAACCACACTGGCCATACAGTACAAATATTCATTACTGACTACTACTCACTTAAATGCCCATTACTGAGCACATGCTGTAGGTTATCGGTAGCCACTCAAAGTGTTTACCACTATACTGACCAACATCAACCACACAAATGTCCAAAACACTAATGACACTGGTCAGCATTAGCCGCTTAAGTGTATATCATCACAGACTACACTGCTCTCACTAGATACTAAGTATCCATTACAGGGATCCTAAGACCCGCATCAGTCATGGCAGTCTCCCACAAATCAGCACTGTCTCCCGCGCTCCCATACCTGACATGTTAGCACCAGCCATGATTCCTGTGCAACCGTTGAAGATAACTGCAAACACGGCTGCAAAAGATAACTGCTTGCCTGTAGTGTAATCTATGGTATAATTTGCTGTTTGATAAAAAAAAATATATATATAATGTTAGTAATGCTATCTTCATTTACCATATATGGCTATACAAGTACTATGCAAATAATTAACATTTAAAATTAATAGGCAAAGCATTACATTTTATTGGTGAAAAGTAAATGTATAATAATCAGCACTGATGCACTGCAGGTAAATTAATATAAAATATTTTTTAAAACGAAAAAAAAAAAAGGTACCCACCATGAAGATTCTCATCAAATGTTTCCGAAGAAAAACCGGTATATCTTGCGGAATCGTTGCCTCTATCAGTTAATGGTATATTTTTTGGATTGGTAACAAAGAAGCTTATTATCACTGATCCAAGCGCCACCATCACAATAAGAAATATAAAAAATGATGTGCGGGCAAACATTGTGGCACCTATTAGACAGACTATGAGGCAGAAAAAGAGAATTATGGTTGCATAAAGGAAGTTCCACCATCTTGTACTTGGCATGCCACCATACACCAAAGAGCCTGAAATTATAAACGTAACATTCAGAAAATAATCTTTACGAATATTTTATTTTAGTCCTTTAAATCAGTCAATTCAATTCAATTATTTTCCAGAAGACATAAAATGTACAATAGAAATATAAAATTAACAAAACCAGTCTGGCAGATTGTTGGAAAGTGAAAAAAAAAATCACTATATTAAAACTTTCCTTCTGGTGTAGGCTAAAATTAAAAATTTAATAAACTAACAACATATACTGTAATATTTAATAAGGTGGCAAAAAGCTTAGGGCAACTAAAAAGACAAAGATTAGTGACTTGTTGGTAGTCATTGTAACACAAATTCATGGAAAGGAAATGAAAGCTGAAATGGAAAAATGTCTAAAAACCAGTTTATTATTTCTATGAGAAACTGGGAGGGGCAACAATGCACCATCAACCAGGAAATCTGCATAGAAACACTTGATTAAAAACTTAATTTGAAGAGATTGATGCATATGGTATTATAAAGGGAGTTTAAGGAAAGAAAGTCTGACATCATTGCAGGGAGGGATTTGAATTTTACATAGCATAAATATCAATGTAAAGAATTTATCTTCCCTCACTCCATTAGAAGGTTTATAGATCTATTGATATTTTTCTTACCATTTGGACCAAAATTATCAATGATAGCTTCTGTTAGCCCAATGCAGTACAAAGCACAGGAAAATACATTAGCTGCGAAAAAGAGCACTCCAATGCTACCGCCAAACTCTGGTCCCAAGGCTCTGCTAATCATGACTGTTGAGACATTATTCAGGAAAATGCATAACAAAAAGATAAGTTGAAATACAATATAATAACAGATAAACTATAACAAAATCAATATCAAACAATAACAATTTAAAACAAAAATAATAAAAATAATAATAAACTGTATACCTAAAAATACTCAAAACTTATGTAAAACATCATTTTCATATTTCAATAATAATAATAGTAATAATATTAACATTAATAATAATAATAATAATAATAATAATTTACTTTTAATTATTCATAAAATAATAATAATAATAAATTAATATTTCTAATAATAATAATAATAATAATAATAATAATAATTTACTTTTAATTAATCATAAAATATAAATTTTAGAAATATCTAAAATTTGTTGGTAGGATACAGTAAGCTCCACCTCCTTCAATGGCCCCATTGGTTGAGATAGCGCAGATTGACAAGACGGTAAGGAAGACGATGAAATAACCAATGAGAAAAATGATCAAGGTACCAACTAGTCCAGCTTGACCCACAGAAAAACCTGCAAGAAACAAAGGAAAGAAGTAAAGCAACAAAACTATCTAACTGCCAGTGATTTTTGTGTCTATGCCCCCTCGGGGAAAAGACACTACAGTACAGTATGTTACGATCTGGCAATTAAAGCTGGCCAAAAGAGTTAATTCTTGAGGTGCATGATGGGTCATGTATCATCTTAAGTACATTACCTTGATGTCGACAATAGTTTCGACGTGAACGGTTAATTATGGCGAGATAGAAGTTCATAACTCGACGATGGCTGTTAGCTCGACTAACTTGTAAATCCAGTCATCGTCGAGTTGATAACGCACCACGGGTGGCCTCAGGTCACGAATACACCAATCAGAACGAAGCCGGTTGACCCTTAGCAAGCTTGCTGTTTGTTTGTTAGTTTATTTTGATCGTTCGAGAGAGAAGGTTTTTCAGTGTAGGCCTAGCTTAGATCTTTATATCAATTATGACCGAGAAAGTACGCCAAAAGCGACATTGTTGGACTTATGAAGAAGAATTCGATCTTATTGACATTTGGAAAGAACCAGAGGTATGTGAAAAGGTGGAAGATAAAATGTACAGACAAAAAGCTACCATTCATGAGCAAATGGCTGTACGAACGCGTGATCTTGGTTACACCGGGATCACAACCGCCGCTCTCGTGAGCGTAGTTGATCCAGCAAGGTATCTCGACATAATCGGACCATCGAACGCAATTAGGAGTGTAGCGCTGTTCAATAGTTTATCTACTTATGTCGACAATAACCGATGTGAACCAAGCTAGTATGTTACGATCTGGCAATTAAAGCTGGCGAAAAGAGTAAATTCTTGAGGTGCATGATGGGTCATGTATCATCTTAAGTACAGTACCTTATTACTGTACAAAAGTCATAAAAAAATTACAATACCATTACCACACATTTCCTGATAACCAAATCCCATGTGGATACTTTATTAGTAAACATAATACGGTAAGGGAGTATAGGGCTTACACACATACACTCCCGAGTCCCGCTGGGAGCCTATTTTTAGAATTGCTCAAGTTTGATACTTGATAACCAGTATTATTCAATGTAAACAATGTGAATTATACTATAGCAGAAATACAACAGGCTGTGCAATTTTGTGTACTGAGTGTCACTCATGCTACTGTATCTCAGGGGTTTCATTAAGGTTTAGAGTAGGAGTTTTGGGTAAGAGTTATAGGAGTGTTCCTGGGGGCGTAGCCCCCAATGGGATATAAATGTAGCCAGCGGAAAGCTGCAGTGACTGGTCGAAGTCGCCGGCTACCGGCTACTAATGTTTGTTTTGGTTTAAAAATATAGTGTTTAAGCTTAGTATAACAATTAATTCATTTCTAAAAATCACTATTGTTGTAAATTTGCAGATTTTGGTACTCCATGATGATTCAACAATGTTTGCACTAATGGTGGTTTGTGAAGCTATCATCAGTCAACATTGCATAAGTGGCTGCTTTATTTGGTTGACCTAACCCTACTGTATGGCACAGATCACTTATAGGATTTGTCAGTGGCGGATCCAGGGGGGCTTCAGGGGATTCAGACCCCCCTCTGTGAAGAAACATAACAAAATACTACTAGGTCGTGGCTTACAAAAGGTATGCTAACCTACCTAAGCATACATTAGCAAAGTCAATATTATAACTCCAGTACTCCCCCAAGAAGTTATTGATAATTTGTGAAAAATTACACCATGAACCTAGTATTAAAAGAATATTACTATAGATTTGGGGAAGATTTTATAGTGTATAAAGCATACTTAGAGAACAATTTTAAAGATTGGGATGCAAGTGCTTTTAACAATGTTAAAAGCACTTGCATCCCAAGTGCTTTTTATCAAACCTGCTGAAGAAAGCATCAGTAAAAAAACAATTACTGGAAAAAATAGGCCATGGTTTGACAAAGAAGCAGCTATAACAATTGAAAATTTAAAAAATCAGCAGACACATAGAAGATATACATTAAAAAAAAGGATAAAAACGAGGCCACTTGTAAATTTCTGTGGTAGAATTACCAACAAAAAATAGTAATTACCGAGAAATTAATTAAACATTTGGAGATGAGAGTTGATAAATCAATTGTTATTGCAAACAAAGGAGGCCTAGGTTGTAAAAAATTTTGGCAGTCACTTAGAGGGTCAAAGTTCAATCAATCTAACACAATTTAAGATTCCATGGTCAGAAAATAAGGGGTTGAAGAAAAGAATGCAGACCTGCCAATTTACCCGATCCTGTCCAGTGTCACTCGATATTTAAACAAATCTCCAGTTCTCCTGATTGAATGTAATTTTCACCTGATTTCACAAGCCACACCCCTTCACAAAAAATACTCCGATTTATGCATAATTTGATTGATTTGATCGTTATTATTCAATGTATTTGCCGCCTGCTCGCTTCGCGGTGCAATAAACAAGCAGCCATTTTCAATTCAAATGTCACAACCAACGGCCAATGATTTGTAGTAACATGACCTTTTTGGTATCTTGCATCATCTTTTGGTTAATTCTGGAAACCACCAGATTTTTTGGTTCTCCAGATTTTTTTAACATCCTTAAAAAAATCTCCAGATTTTCATGACCCAAGGTTTGGCAGGTCTGAGAATGAAACAATGAAAAATTATTGGGAATCAATAAGTAAATCTAAACCTAATTCTTCTAACAGTTACATGCATAAAAATAAACAATTTATTAATAATGTTAGAATACACTGATTGGGATTTATTAATAATGGAAACACTGATCGGAATGATGATGACCCAAATTGTATATGATATAGATACTGATATTGTTAAAATAATGAGGCATGTCGTGGCAAAATGGTTTTAACCAAAAAAAAATGGTTAAAAATGGTTTTAACTTAAAAGTTGTCACACAGGCCAGTATTGAGTATAAACGAGCTATAAAATATGGGAGCTCAAAAAATTGCCTAAAAATCCAAATTTGTTTTTATTATAGATCAACAGTTCTATTGACTATGGTTTAATGTCTTATTAATCATGTCGAAAAGTATTAGTTAAGTGGTCAACAAATCGATTAACGTTATTTTGATAGTTAATTCCATTAAACAATGTATGCACTAAGTAACTTCAATAGGCAATTACTCAAAAGCATGTTTATCTTATAGTTATACTATAGGCCTAGGGCCTAGGCTTTTGTGGGGTTAGGTTTATACTGTGTAGGCCTAGGCCTAGCTAGGTTAATGAGCTCTCGGTAGGGAGCATTAGGCCCCAGACCGGGGTTCGAATTCACTGTTCGAGTGCCTCGGTAATGATCCTTCCGCAGGTGACTCTGAAAGTACTGTACCCAATTTCAATGAATGACACGTCATTTTAAAGATCACATACTCATGTATCTGAAAATAGCAATAACTTGAATTTCAATTTTTGCTACAACTTAACCATTTGCCACAACATGCCTTAAATACGCACTAAGGCTTGCAAAGAATGGTAAATCACCAGGTGAAGATAGTATATGAACTTGTAGCAGTACTACCATCTGTAAATTTGTATTAGGATCTGTGTGTAAATAATACCTAGCATTTTTAACTAATATCCCAACTTCATGGGTTATACACCAAAGCTTAGGAAGGTCATTTACCTTAGGCTATGTTCACACACACGGCGTAAGGCTGGCTTAAGCCTG